TTCGGTCCCATGGCTGCACATGATCAGGTAACCAGCGGAGACTCGGGCGCAGTCGATTCAACCAGAACTTGATGTGCAATGCATGGTCTTGCGAGTTGCTCGCAGACTGAGCCTCCTTGGAACACCGGGCCGCTGCGTTGAAGAGCACATGTTCCGGAAACCGTAGCTTCCCCCATGTCCAGTGCTTATTCCCCCACCCCCAAAAAAACGAAAGGTGTTACGGAAGAATGGAGCTGCAGATTGAAGCTGCCAGTGCCTGACGTTCCTGAAAACTGTCATACTCACGTTTGGGCATTGCCAGGATGCGCAGGCGAAGAAAGAAAAGTCGTTGTTGAGCATTGAGGGTCCTGCTAGCCTTACCAGAGCCTGAGGGCTCGCCACCCAATAACCCGTAAATGGAGAGCGATACTTGACCATCAGTACCTGAGACCTATGCACAAAGCTGGGGTATGTGCCATATGTGCCAACATGGGACCCCTTGTTTCTATAGTGGTGACTACTATGCATAGTCATCTCAAGCTGTTCCTTGTGAGACTCTAAGCGCCTTAAGGCTTGAAGTACAAAACCAGTTGTAACAACCCTTTTCTCTTCAAGCTCCGGCCCCATGGCTGCACATGATCAGGTAACCAGCGGAGACTCGGGTGCAGTCGATTCAACCAGAACTTGGTGTGAAATGCATGGTCTTGCGAGTTGCTCGTAGACTGAGCCTGCTTGGAACACCGGGCCGCTGCGTTGAAGAGCACATGTTCCGGAAACCGTGGCTTCCCCATGTTCGCACAAAGCTGGGGTGTGTGCCAACATGGGACCCCTTGTTTCTGTAGTGGCGACTACTATGCATACCCGGCAAACCTATTCGTAGATGACTCAAGAGGTCATATCAAGCTGTCTCTTGTGAGACTCTGAGCTCCTTAAGGCTTGAAGGGTGGCAGGAATTGCAGCCTAAGTGGGGACCCCCTTTGAACACCCTGGGACGTGGGACCACCGCGGCCAAGGCGACCAAGGCTCGCTGGCCGTCTCTGCCATGGCTCCTTGAAGCTTCGGGCTGGACAAACTGAACCACCGGGGGCACAGAAATCGGCAGGGCCAAAACCTAAAACGCAACAGGCAGGGGAAAGGGAGTGCAACGGTGTGCATGAAGGCTGCGGCCAAACCTCGAGCAAGGCGACAAAAGGACGTGGACAGTGTTCACTCCAGGACTGGAACGAAAACTTGCCTAAGCGACCGCTGCTTGTGCATGCAAGCCTTCTGAGGCCAGCTGCACAAGCGCCGTTTCGGTCAGGAAGGCCTCAGGAAGACTGATGATCCAATGGCATGCAGAAGCCTTCGGCTCAGAAAATGCCCGATCAGCACGGGCCCGGCTTGCTCGTACCTGCATCGCACGCGTAGCAGCAACGCGTGTAAAGCCCTATTCAGAGCATACCCTTCCGCTCGCACTAGACGGTCTTCCCAGCGTTGAAGTCATCTCTCTCTCCCTCCCTCTCCAGGACTCCATGGAAGCAGAAGCACGACCCAGGCCTCACGGTTTGAAGAAGCTTCATTCTTTGCTATCACGACGACCGCCGCTTGCCATTGCAGCGAAGGAAACCCCTCAGCACACTGAGGTTGACCTCTTGTCGGTTGCCTCCATGTTGTGGTTTATGTGGCATCTATGGTTTCTATGGTTTCTATCGTGTGCTGTCGCTAATCTCTTCCTCCTTAGGGCGGTGTACATCGTATATTCAAAATGCCTTAAGTAATGAAGTCGGCCTGTGATTCGTGGAGCGGAGTCTGATCCTCAAGGGATGGATTTAGGGTTTAGGGTTTTTCGTGCTTGGGGTTTAAGGGTACGCTTTGTAGAAAAGTTATCTCCGGACATGGAGGAATAAAGGTGTCCCCAGCAAAACGAAATTGAAAAGATGGTTTTTCTATTGCTGGAATCTAGAGGAGATACACGATCTCTTCTTAAAGTAGACGAATAGAGGTTTCCGAAACCCGACTAGATTCATGTGCGGAGCGCGATGTCGACCACGGAATGCGCAGAGGACCGAGAACGCGATTCGACCACAGAATGTGCGGGAACCGGGCGAAAGTGCGTTTTCCACCCCAGAATGCGTGCGGGACCTTGGCGTGAGCACGGGTAACCCTGTACTTTTCTCTCTCTTTCAGAAAAATCGCGCGAACTTACTGGAGGCTGCTGCGTACCGATAACATTCGTCCAAGCATATATGCGTATGGATGGAATTGTATGCGTTCGAGATGTCTCTTAAACTCCTTCCAAATACAAGATATATCCTCCCTTCATCAAGAGGAAATTCGTTGAAGAAGTTGAAGTATCCTCAGTGCAAGCGGCATCTGCGCTCAAAAGCACCAATTAGAAATCTTCAAAGATTCCAGAATTCGACATCTTTGGAGGAGAACAGAGTCGGCTTTGTGGTTGTTAGCTCGAATCCATGCGCGGGCGGCGTGGATCATTTCCTCGGCCCCCAAGCAGATTCCCATTGCGACTTGTTGGATAGCGAGACGATTCTGGATACCTTATCTGTCGAGAAGAGGAAGAAAGTCGTCTTGAACACCAATTTGATTAGAGTTCGAGTTATAATTTCATGGTTCATTCAGAATCGATAATATTCAATTCAAAAATCCAATTCTCGGCAACGTATATTAAACGCCCATCATTATTCCCCATAATCTTTCCGACCCAATATTCAGATTCGATATATCATTTTGAATTAAGTAATAACTTCAATGCCCTAGCCCAAAACCCCAAAACCCCACCTTCGCTTGCTTGTGGTAAGGAGGCCGATGAGTTCCAATGTTAGTCAAAATATACTTGTATGTCGATCTTCCATTTTTCATTGGTAATTTGGGGTGAAAGAAATCACTTATGACATGTTCAGGGCCCCTCCCCCCCATCCCACATTGTATGGCCTGTCCCAGAAACATGTGAAGCGATGAGGTTTGCATTCCAATTGCAGAGCACACGCGCTCGTGTAAACATGCAACTCGCTATTGCAGGTCGTGATGGCCCATCATGGCCTCTTCTATTTCGGACTTTACGTTTCGGACCTTTTCGGACCTTTTCGCCCATCGCTGCCTGTAAGGGGTGCCTGGAGGCCTCCCCCCAAGGCGCCGGCCATGGTGCAACAAGAATGTCGCTACGTGCACCGACACGTGTGGTCAACAACACAATCCTACAAGTACCCATGGCCTGCGAAAGGATGCTCCTGATGTAGATATGTAGGTATATGTCGGTCTCATGCAGATGGAACAATGTAGGTGTGTATGTAGTTAGTTGCGTCTGTAGTTATGAAGTTCCGAGAAGCAGAGCAACAGCAGCAACACCACCACCACCACCACCACCACCACCACCACCACCACCACCACGACTTGTCAGGTCGGTCTTCGTGGAATCTTGCGTAAATAGTGTAACTTGCAGTCCCATCCCTCGGCTTCCCTGGTTGCTTTGGCTTTTATCGCCTGATGGCCTATGCATCCTCACACATTTTCTCCACGCAACGACGCAACCCAGGCCGAGTCTGCACCTCAGACCCCTTTGGTTCGGAGGATCGCGTCCCTGCTGCGTCCCGTTGGTCCCGTTGCGCGCAGAAGGATGTGGCTCCTCCGCCACGCGGGGGGCCACGCGGCCACAAACGGAGTCTGCCACGGTTGACGTCCGATGTCACCAAGGTGCAAACGGCAAGAGCTGACGGTGCATGCTGCCTTTTCTGGCAGGCGCACGAAGGAGCGTCGTGCACGCGCACACGCCATGCGCACACCTAAGCTCAGTGCGAATGGTAGCAGGCCGGTATCTGCATCATCACTGCCATTCGGGTGGTGCCCGAAGGCTACACGGCTATACAATCGCAACTCAGAGATGCCGCGAGACTCGGCAAGCTGGGTTGGGCCTCTTGCCTAAAGTGCAGAGCTGAAAGAGCTCAGCCTAGCCCGACAGAGCTGGCCGCGTGAAGAGGGCGGCGCCTTTCGGGTCCGCGACATATCCAAGCCAGGCTTCACACCAGGCTCTCAGCCAGAAGCCAGAAATAGCAGTTCAAAGACGACTCACCGAGCACGAGCTCCAGCTGCTGGCTCTTGCGGAGGCTTTAAGGGGGGGGGGAAGAACTCCCTAAAGGCACGGGGGAGGACGGAGAGTTTAAGGAGAAGGGCTTCATCTCGGGCTTAGACGGCATCCTCCTCCCCAAGTCCTCCGAGGAGGCCCCCGAAGACTCCCCCGACGAAACCCCCGACAAGCCCTGTGAGTCCTCGGCCACCAGCTCTGCGGGGCCAAGCGCAAGCCCTTCTTTGGTGCTGCGGCCGTGCTAGCGAGGATGGCATTGCCTTAGCAACCTTAGCACTCTCCAAAGAGTCTTTGAGAGATCTCCCGACTTGGGTGAAAGTGCCGGAAAGAAGGGCACAAGGAACCCACTGATGCAACGGCGGTGTCTTCAGAGGCACGGGCTGCTAGCATCTGCGATGCACTTGTGCACGTACTTGGAAGGTCCTGCAAGGCCTTTCAACATGCCCATGCATGGTATACACGTTCAGCTTCTTCGGATCGCCTCTACGGGTAGAAGCTGAGACGACGCTTTCTTGAAAATGTGGCACCTCTGGCCCTGACGCAGCACCACAGGGGCCGGGTGGCATCCAGTTCTCGTCATCTTCCCCAGGCAGATTTTAACTGATCTTACAACCTAAGCACACTCTTCTGCAACCGGCCGCTGCTTCGCGACCGCTGACTGCTTCGCGACTGCTTGGCGTGGAGCAGAAGCCCCAAGACAATGCACGTGACTGTGATGATCCACTTCTCTTCGCGCGGAATTTGCGCGAGTCAGTCTCTTGCAGGCACAGGCCGAGAGCTTCAGAGAGGATTTCAAGAGAATCTTTCGAAAGTGCATGCGACTTGGCATGCGACAATTTGGAGGTGGACAGTCCGGCGAAGACCTCAACATGCTCGCGGGCATGAGGCCGTCTATCGTACATGCAGCCTCTGAAGACTCACCTTAAAAGACCCTTCTCACCAGACCATGGAGTATGAGCGCGAGCAGATCTGCGGCATCTATGGCATCTGCGGAATCTGTGCAGCTCGGAAGGCAGTTGCAAGGGTATGCGCGCTTCTTTGCCTCGTTGAAGTCTGCTTCTGCTTGCAGGGAAAGGGATCAGGGACTCTCCAATCTGACCCAGGAGCCTCACAGTCAAGGGTGCGTAGGAAGCGCTGCTCAAAAAGGCAGACCGAAAGACTTTCAGCCCAGCCCTGGCTGCCAGCGGCTGGAATCTGCGCCAGGATGTCAAGGTACAAGATCTACCGAGGAATTGTCAACCTGCCCCTTCCTGTGTTCGCATCCTTACCTCGGAGAAGTGGCAAGGGCAACACGGAGGAGCATGATTGATTCTGTGTGACTCTAGAAGCCTTGATCGCAAGAGACTTGTCCTTCCAAGCAATGTTTGAAGAAAGGAGTGTGAGCAAACACCGCGTTCACTCTCCACTTCACTTGCTTTTCAAGAGCGCAACGGACCTCGGCACGCCTAGCACTTAATGCTTTAATGGGAGCCTTCCGCCATCTCCCGCCCAAAGGCTTCATGGTCGATGGCTGTCATGCGCTGTTCTGAGGGGCCTCGCCACTGCCAAGCTTCGTTTGCGGTAGGAACCACGACAGCTTCCTAAATATCCTAAATGACTTTTCTTCAAAGTTCTAGGAGTCTAGAGGTTGCCGGGGACTCCAGCTACAAGGATGCACGAGCAGGGGGCTGAACTTCGCTGGTCGAAAGCCTTAGCTGGTTGCTTGCTGCCGTGCTCAGGGGCCTGGCGAATCCCTCCCTTGGGCCCCCGATTGTACCGCGGGCAAATGCTGTTGTTCGTCTCTGGGAGACGCGAGCGCGGCGAGGGATCTGCGAGAAGGCACGGACCACCAGGGACCTGTGCGCAGGGCCCCTCAGGTGCCACGCTGCGCCGCTGGAGTGAAGCGACGAAGCGTGCAATGTGCATGCGCATGCTCGGAGTTCTGGTCGGAGTTCTTCTCCCTTGAACAAAAGTGCTGAGTGGCTTTGAGGCCTCAATTCTGAAGTTGGAAGCCGGACGTGTACCTGCCAAGGGCGAGCACACCTGAATGCTGGACTTTGCGATTGCGCTGCGTGGTCAAGACTCTACGAAGCCGAACTGGCCTCACTAGCCCCTCGCTGACCCTTATCCCATCGGCGCGCGCCTTGTCAGGCCACATGTTTGCTCTTTTTCCTCGTGTCTTTTCGCTCATTCGTCAACTGACGCAAAGTTTTGAGATTCCGCGCTTAGCTGGAGAGCGGGAGTTGTTGAGGCTGCAGGCCTTCTGCGCAGCGGAAAACGGGACATGACAACGACTTGCCCCGACACTGCAAAGGCTACAGATGAGGTCGCAAGCTGAGGCTTCTGTCAAAGAACCATCAGTGTTCCACACACAAACCCCAGACGCATTCCCGGACCATCGCTGGCGCCGCTGGCGCCGCTGGCGCTGGCCTCGCAAATAAATCGAAGCCCCGAGCTTCTTCGCCAATGACGTGAGCTCAGTGAGCTCTTTCAGCTCTCTCACATGCGCACTATAAGCCGAAGCACGCGTCCTGCGAGTACAGATACCACCAGCAGTGCGCAACACCACAAGGTCGGTCAGTTGGTCAGTTACAACCTCTCGCTGCTAGTAGGCATGAGTAGGCATGAGTAGCTACAATCAATGAGGCTGCTTGCTGCATTGCAGTCGCTTCACTGGCCTTGCGTTCAGCATCCAGAGATGCAAGAGACCCAAACCTTCGGAGCTCACTGGCACAAAGGGCACAAAGCAGCCCCGCGGCCCTGGCGTGCTTCCACCTTAACTTACTTTAATCAAAAGCACAGAAGGAAACTTCATAAACCCCCTGGTGTTGCAAGCTGTTTGCTCTTAAGGGGTGTTGATCTGAGTTCAATTCTGCAATGGAATGGGCGGCCTGTGCCAGGAAAGGGCGTCGGAGTTTTTTGCGATTATACTATGAGACTATGATGGCTAGCCCCCTGCAAGATCTGATCCGTGCACAAGCTGTTGAGTTGTGCATCTGAACCTCTGTGGCCGCAACTGCCGGCTTTGCCCAAGGTTTCAACGACAAAGCAAAGTCAACATCGAGGGAACACGAGGAGGACGCGAGGTCGGCCTGGGCTGTGGGCCAAGGTACATCTCCCGGAGATCTAAACTGACCAAGCTAGAGCATGGCAAGGGCTAGTGGTGGGAATGTCAATGACGCTAAATGAATCCTTGAAGGCACACAGCGTGAGCACTTGTGCCTTTGGACTTGCAGCTTCAAGAATCCATTTGAGGTTGGCTTTAGGAGGATCCAGCACGCCAATATTTGTGAAATCGCGATAGATGGTAGCCAACTTGTTAACATCTTGCTTCTGAAGTGTCCCAACATGGCCATTGCGGGGCCTACAGGCTCAGCTGCAGACTTAACTGCAAACTTACTTGCAGTGCTCACGGCCTGAAGAACGAGACTCAGGAACAAGAGCATCAAGTGCTCTGGAAACAAAGGGGTTATATGCCGTGCTGAACATGCGTACTCGAACTGCGCAAAGGCAGTCGAATCTCCCTTGTGTTCTGGACAGGAATCGCACGCACTGCCTCTCGGTGTCGGCTTACCCTACAATGCCTACAATTGTGCAAGCACCCTCTGGTAGCAGAAGTGTGTTGCTGAATCTCTCTGCACGCAGCAACCCGCATCATGGATGACGATAGGGTTCCCCGGCATTGCTTGCCAGGGAGGAATCTACAGCACTACAAGGCCAAAAAAGCCTAGACATCCCGCAACAAAGAGCTCTTTCTCGCACAGCACAAGAAGAACAGGTGGATGCTATTTGGTAGCTTCCGTCACAACTGGACGTGTCTCCTGTTGTCGGGGAACGCCTCTTTGCTGGGGAGAGCTAACCCGGGCCAAAACGGAAGAATCCTTGCTTACTTCGCGCCCTGCGCACAGAGCACGGACGCTTGTTCATGGCTTGTGTTGGTGAGACAGGCTCAGATGCACATTGCACTCTCTGATACCCTGTGATAGTCATGCGCAGGACATCTTGTTAACAACCAAAAACCTGAGCCGCCTTAGACTTTACCGAACCTGCGAAGGGATTGTGCAGCTATTGATGATGCGACCGTGCGCGGCAGGAAGTGACAACTTGGGTGTAGAGGCAGGGTGCGTGATTCGTGGAGTCTTCCAACCACTCAGGGACTCAGGGTCTGGGGGACCTCCTCGCGAGAACAGCCCCAGGACGTGCTTGAGGAGACAGAGGAGGAGACAGAAGATCTCTCTCTTCCCACGCCCTCGCAGAAAGCGACGACAGATGACAGTGAGGACAGCATGCACGCAGCGATGCGCATGTCAAACGCACCGAAATGAGCGTGGCAGCATGTGACCGAGCCCTACAGAGAGAGCCCGCCCTTGGCCACTACTCCATGCCGTGAGTAACGGCAAGTGTGCACCAGAGCTCCAGGCGCTCGCGGGGCACACCGAGCACATGCACCCGACGCAGCGGAGCCCGCGGCGTAGCGAGTGGCGGAGCCCACGGTGGAGCCCACAGCAACCAGAGAAGCATTCAAGCGGAGCCCTGTTGGTACCTGGTTCTACAGCAACATTGGACCTTATCTTCTGGAAGGAAGCTAAGAGCGTGGACCCTCTGATATGAATGCTTTCGAGCTCATGCGAAGTGCGAAAGGCCCGCAGCAAGCTGAGCACGAAGCGTGTGGCGGGGCCAAGCTTCGCAGAAGGATCGCGAGCCCGTTCATGTCGTGAAGCTGCATGGCGCAACTCTTCCTTTCCCTCCCGGCCGTGGCTGGCCTTGGTACACGGAGAACAGGGAAGAATCCCGGGTAGAACAGGCTAGAGTCATGCAGAGTTAGAGGCAGAGGCAAGCCGAGGCCTCGGGAGGATAAATGGCCCCCCCATGGCTTCAAGGCCCACACCCTCACCCTCACCCATCAACAGCAGGGAGCAACGCGTCGACCCTCTCACCGAAGGCCCCGCACGGCCGCACGGCCGCACGAACATGGCAACAACGTGGGACAACGAACCTTTTCGTGCAAGAGGTCCATGGGAAGTTGCAAGATCTGAACTGTGCTTAGAGCTCAAGCTCCGAGCCTAGGTAACACCAAGGCTGCTCGTCATGCCTATATAAGGAGCGAGAACCTTGCAGAAACTCAGGTTCAGCAACGCGCGATGAGATGGGCACAGGGAAAAACCACGTTTGGGAGAAAACATTAACCCTCTGCCGCGGGAACAGTGTGACTCGATGCAAGCCTTGCAGCCTCGCATAGCCTCGCGGAGCACACGAGCGACAAAGAAAGGGCAAATGGTGCAAGAAAGAAACGGCAAAGAGCATGGCATCACGAGTCCGTTGACGCCTTGAAGGTGCATGGAGCAAAAAAAATCCGCCTCCTGCCAGATCTCGGCCATGGTTGGTAGCAGCACGCCAGTAGAATGTCTCAGTTGCACCCGTGTGTGACTTCATTGGCTCGGGCCCTGGCATGGATGAGGCGAGGTGTGACGAGGCGTTGGGAGGCTCAACAGCGCACTAGGCATGCCCTGCAGGCTTTGTGAGAGCAAGAAGGAAAAACTGTAAAAACATTTGAGTCTTTCCATGTGTTAGAGCGAGGGCCAGTTCCAGCCGCCCCGACCCCATCGAAGAAAGTCTAGTCCTGCCTTGTTCAGCCTCTACATGTTTCTTGCTTGCTCCAGGCTGTTCGGATTCCGGGCCGAAGTTAGCAGGGGATCCCATCGGAAGGAGGGGGAATCTTTCAGGTGAAAGGAAATCTGCGTCCGCATAATTCAATAAGAGAAACAGGGAAATCCTTCATGAACTGAAGGGATCATCTGGAGGGTCTAGGGAAATCCTTCAAAACCACTTTCGAAAGTGTCACTTTGGAATAGAGACCAAGCCGGCAGGCCGAGGATCCCCAAATCTTCCTTCAGCCAAGGCTTCGGACGTTTTCGTATCAGGACCCAAGACAGAAGTGCCAGAGCAATAAGTGCACTTGTGGGCTTGGGGGAGTTGTGCGACTGTTGGCCTGCCTCGCCTTGACAGCTATCAGCTGCAGCGCGCTGACTTGCTGGTGGCATGCTGCCAATGTTCGAAGGGGACAAGGTGTGCCACATGATCCATCAGAGGAGCCGGCTCCGTGGCCGCGTGTGCTATGTGCGTATTTCAGCTTCGACGTAGGAGCGGCAATTTAGCAAGCTACATACAACCCTGTGATTCAACAAGTGCCATCAACATGAAAAGTGCCAGTAGCTTGATGAGGGCCAGCAGCCACACCGCTCTGCGATTTGAGATCGCACGTCCCTGCCAAGTGCCAGGGCGCAGGTCAGCTTAGGACAGTGGGAATCTAGAATCAGTCGAGGCCAAATA